CCCCAAAACCCCAAAACCCCAAAACCCCAAGTTAATTATACTGTAGATTTTTGATAAAATGATTTATAAAATGAAAATTAATGTAAATGCAGATAAAAAGCATAAAAGTTTTTCAGCTTTTGACATTATTGAGTAAATCCTGGCTTGGGCAACAATACTCTTAGCTTGCTTTGTATTTTTCTGCTACATCTATTTCAAAAACACTAAATAAAACAAATGTATGATATTTAAATAATATGTATTTAACCTAACTCAATACTTTCTCAAATACTTAATGCTTATGTTTATAGATGGATTAATTTTACTTGGACTGATTACATTAGACATTTTAGTGGCCCTCCATTTCTTGATAGCTATTATGATTGAGAATTCAGCTGATGATGATCCATCCTTCAAAGAAAAAATGTGTCTATTTGATGGATATCTGACAGCTTACTGCTTGTCAACAATAGTTGCTTATTCAATATGTCTGGCTCATTGCGTACTTGAGATGATTTCAGATTTTCAATACAATAAAAAATTCACTTCAGGGTTTAAGTATCATTTGATTGCAAATCTAACAGGGACTACATTTTGCATTCTTACAGCTATATTTGATGATGCAGGTTAAGGTGTAATGGGTACATGCGCTATGGAATATGGAAGTTTTATACAGTAATTGATTTCAACCAATTAAACTTATAATTTTAGAATAGTCCTTGCTCCTCTTATTATTTATGCTACGATATACTCGCTTTACACTGTGTTTTAACTTTCTAAGATAATGCGAAGAGAAAAGCAACTGAACAAGCAGATGAAGTATTTCTTTATTCAGCATTGTATCAATGAAATATCAGTGTTTTGTTCTTAGATTCTATGGTAATTTTTCCTAATTTATTAATTTCAGTGGATATATGCATGTGTCAACCTTCTTTTTACAGAATACATAGAATGATGTCAACTAAAATTTCATCAGTGTAATGATTAACCCATTTATAAAAATATAGGCACTAAGAGTGATGATTTTGTCGACAGGAATAGTAAACTCGCTAGTAAGGATATTTGGGGACATATATTTAAGAAATGAAATTTTTAGGTTATTTTGCTGCAGAAAAATACCTTCTGAATTCTATGAGCAATCTGAGTCTGAAGATTACAAAACAAATGTCAGTGAAAGTGTAAATTCTACCATCACCTAATCTATGGTCAAAGTCTAAATTGACGAACAGTAGATAGTTTTTTATAGAAGTAGCAATAGGACATAGACATTATTTGGAGGTGAAATTCAAAGGCACATCTCCTAAAACCTATTAGATCAGCTAAACTCTCCATAATAATCAAATGCTCGAATTAATAAACCACTCTTTGTGTATATTTAAGAAGAGAATTCTATTAAAAATCTAAGAAAAATGTTCTCAGCTATTAGCTATCACTTCAAGCTGAAGTAAGATGAGTAGATTAATTTAACCCCGGTAAGGAAATTATTTCTAAAGCAAAAAGTTACGAGAAGAATAAATATAAGTTAAAATGGGGGCAATTAGGATATTTAGAGATTCTTTAATTCTCCTATGAGGGCGAATTAAAAAAATAATAATAATCAAGGCTCATAGAGTCCAGGCAGCCATTTCGGTGTTAATAAAAGTACAGCTAGTATGACTTATAATGAAGGCGGTTCGATAAAATTTTCTGAGTACGAGTAAAAAAAATTTGATAAGATAAGGAGGATTTCTAATATTTAAGAGTCTGACATCATTAAAAGCTTTAATAATTCGTTGAACCATAAAATCTTCAAGAAAAACATGAATAAGCAGCAAGCAGGTAAGAGTGGGAAGCACATCATAATGACTCATGATAAAAGATTCCTAGTTAAGGAAATAGATAGTTATGAAAAAGACACTATGATAAAGTTCTCTGAGTATTATGCTGAGTATTTAGAAGGAAATGAAAAGAGTTTATTAGCTAGAATATATGGTCTTTTTTCACTTAAACTTCCCTAAATAAGCAAAGTATACTTTGTCATCATGCAGAATTTGGATTTCTATTCAGACTCAAAAGTACTGTTCAGATATGACCTAAAATTTTCCGATATAAATCGAAAAAGAGTAGAAACTGTTTAGGATCTTATGTTTATCAAAGAATACCTTGTTAGGAAAGACTCAAACTTCTAAGACATTCTAACTAATCAAACTGTATAATTAAGAAACACAACTTTATTGCGATCTGAGGCAGGCTCAATGACAAAGGATAGAATCGGATCAACTCAGGATGGGATCTTTGAGAAACTTGAAAAATTACCTTCTAAACTGTTCAATGGTTTGAAGATAGATGAATATCTAAGTGGAAAGAATAATAGAGAATCCTTAATAAGCAGCTAAAAAAGTGAAGGACAAGTTATTTCAGCAAACCATACAAAAATCAAGAGTAATTTAGCAATTAGCAATGATCTGACACACTCTGAATTGTAGCAAAACGAAGAGCATAAAAGACAAAGCATGAAGGTTGATAGAGAAGTATTTAAGAACCTGAAACTCCTTAAAGATATAGACTTTTAAAATTTGCATGATGTGATTGAAATAGACAATCAGCACTCTGAAGAATTAATGGATTTCTTTGAGCAAGTAAAGAAGGATACCTCTCTGTTAAGAGCCTTTAATCTGATGGACTACTCCCTGCTTCTGGTCATAATAAGAGCAGATAGTGTAAGTGAAAGAGACAAAAGACTTAAGTGGAATCCGTACTTCTTCAAGACAAAGAATCAAAGCTTTCTTATTACAATGGGCATTATAGACTATTTGCAGATATATGATCTGAGTAGAACGATTCAAGGCAAGGCACAGAGAATTATATCGTAACTCAGAAATAAGCAAAATTAGCAAGTCTCCTGTGTGAATCCTCTTGAGTATTTCAGCAGATTCAATTAAGGCCTTACCAAAATATTCTCTGTAGGTAAAGATCAAGACTTAAATGAAATGGATGAGAAGGATGAGTTTTAAATACCTGAAACAGGTTCTCCCAACAAAGTTACTCGGACAAGCTATGAAATTCATTAAGACTAGGATCAGATCATGTTTATTTGATATAAGAGTCAATCAGAATTATCCTAATAATATATAAATGATATCTTAAAGCAATTATTAATTTCTTAATATTTATTCGATCTTTTTTAATAATTTTTAATGGGGTTTTGGGGTTTTGGGGTTTTGGGG